ACACTTGCACTACGCACTCAAGCAGAATGCAGAGTCTACATAAATATGGAATGTAAGAATTTAAGAAAATAGCACAGATAATTTTTGAGTCAATGAATAAAAGAGATACAGATTATAGAATAATCGTGCCACTACTTCACAATTGATTATTTTTATCGAATTTCGACAAATGATTTACGAAAAGTATTTAAGGGTATTACGTTTATGATTATTAATTACATACTACGTTTAAACGTGTTTTTAATTATTTTTGAATGAACTTTCTTATTAAATATACTCTATGGTTTCAAACGATGATTCGCGTCCCAAAATAGGTATAGGTATTTTAATAGCGCGCGGTAATTCAATTGAGACGCTCTGCTGTGCTAAACACAGCTTTAGATTGCTTCGGTACTTGATGGTTTACAGAGGCTGCTTTTAACTTCTACGACCTTCTCGAACTGAAGTCGGTAAGCTGCCCACGATGAACGACCGTCGAACTGTGGAACCTACAGAATTCGTCGATCTACTCGGAGCCCTGCTAGGATCGTTCATGTGGACCGGTTAGCCCGATACTACGGGTCTAATGATGCTCGGGACGAGCATGACTTAGCGGAGGGCAATGTCGCGACGTCATCTATTGATGAGTAGCGAAAATCATATTAGAGGAATAATCGAGCTGTTTCCAGAATGTTCGATCGCCGCGAGCAGCGAAAATGACGTTCGCGAAAAGATGTCTCGAACATTCGAAACGGCTTCGAGAATGTTCCATTATGAAATTGCCCATCGAGAAAGTTCTGGAATAAAATGACAAATGAATAACGAAAAGAAGATCGAAATTCGGGGTATATAAGGGAAGTCAGTCGTGACTCGGGGAGTGATACGGTGGAACGTGAACTATGAAGAAGAAGAAGTCCTGAGCGAATTACGAGGAAGATTAAGTGACCGCGGAGTGAAAGTGCTAGTGAATAGTGACAGTGGTGTTCTGTAAAGTGCGCTGAGTTAGTGATTCAGTGTTTGCTTGCATCGTGTAGTCTTAACGGACGATTTGTGAGTGCAGTGAATCCCTGTTATTGTAAGTCGCGAATAAATTAACGCAGAAATTTCCACGGCGTTTTGACTCTATCCCGCACGCTCGTAACAAGAGGAACCAGGTGCCAGCTATATAGCCACCATTAATTCTTGGTACATATAAGATTTGTAATCTGTGGTGACAGGTTTCATATTAGAGGCGGGAAAATTAAAATAAAAATCTGAAAATTAATTGCTGCGAACTTGGACTTGGATGGAACTAACGGTTCGATGTCAACATCAAAATGATTTTAAGGTAGATAGATAGATAGATAGATAAAGCCTTTATTCGCTGACAATTTACAAAATTTACAACTTATTAATAACAAAATAAATAGTTAAAGTTAAATATAAAGTTTTTTTT